CTCTTCCATCTTTGCATCATTTTTCACACAAAAAATTACGAAGAGCTCCTTTTTTGGATTGAATTAAGTCCTCAATTATCTAAGTTTTTTTTTTACGCTTGGAACAACTATGAGTATTTTGAATCAGATGATCTAGCGTTAATGCCACCGCAAGATGTTGATCCTGATGACGAGGATGTGTTGGGGGAAGGAAGACCATTGAGAAAGGTAACTCGATCTCCTAACAAAATACAATGATTATCATCTTGACGAAACACTACAGTTTGGAGGTTTTAAGAATGCCAATGTTCACAACAGATATTTGTTTGCTTGAATGTTGGTCATCCGAGTCCAGCAAATAGGTTCTATGAAATGAGTGTTATAAACTTGTTAAATGAGCCAACGTTTTAATATGAAGCCATCAAAAGTGATGAATGGAACAGGACAGTAAACAATGATATATACTCACTTGAAGAGAACCAGATATGGGACATAATTCACTTCCCAAAGGGAAGAAACCAGTTGGAATTAAGTGGGTGTTCAAGCTCAAATTGAAACCAGATGGTTCGCTTGAAAGGCACAAGACCAAACTTGTTGGCCTAAGGCTTCACACAAATCTATGGACCAGATTTCTTGGACTACACACTTACTCTCTAGTGGCCAAGATCAATTTTGTCAAGGCATTCATAGCAGTAGCCAGCGTGAACAATCATAGTGGGAGAGGTTCGAAGATGGGTAAACGACTTTAACCTCAGGAGATCCCTTTGTCTGGTAATTAATATAATAAATTCATAAGTATGCTTATGCAATGAATTGAACCGACCACAACTTAAAAGCGACATAAGGGTATTTTGCCACAATACTAAGGACATCAAATGGTAGAGTGAAGTTATTTAATACAAACACCATAACTGTTGCAATCCCAACAAACCAAATAGATAGTATTATATTTTGACATCAACACTTTTTTTCTGGCAATCTCATCTCTACAATACATTTTTATGAGGATTCACATTCCATGATACATAGTTGACAAATTAGTCACCCCTAATTAATAAATATCCAACAAGTCTTTTATTTTCTTTATAGTTTCTAAGCCTTGTGAGGAAACAGACGAATGGGAAGACCGTTCGCCGGCACACAAATAGGATTCACGATAATTTTTTCACCGGGGATCAACATCTCGAACCTGAATCGCTTTACCAAGTTGTGCATAAACACCAGAATTTCAAGGCGAGCATACTCTTTGCCAGGGCACATCTTGGGACCTCCTCCGAAAGGAACGAACGTGTATGGTTCTGGACCGCTGCCTTCGAATCTGCTGGGATCGAACTTCTCCGGTTTCGGGAAGTACTTTTCGTTCTTGTGAGTTGAAGGTACACTCCAATACAACTGCATTTTATATATACATATCCTATTTGTGTTAAACTACATAGTGCATACGTGACTGAAAACCCATGAAAAGGAAAGAAATAGTAAAACTACGTGTACCTTCCAACCCTTGGGGATGGAGAAGCCACTGAAAATGAAGTCTGTAGTGGCTTCCCTGAAGGAGCCTTGAACAGGAGGAGTGAGCCTCAGCACTTCACAAGCTACATTCCACGAGTACTTCATCTTCTTGATGTCCTCCCAGTTCAACAATTCCCCAGCTGATTTGCTTCTCGCGATCTCCATTTGTTCTGCGACAAAATAATGGAGCCACTTGATTTTCAGCTTAGGGACAATGAAGCCCAAATGAAGAATCGAACCAGAACTGATCGATGCTACTTATAACGGACAAGGAAGAAATCTGATCTACAAGCCCATGGTTGTCACTAGGGCTGGCTATTTGGTCTGTACTGTTTGGCTTTACCCGAAGTCGATCTGTATGATCCGGACCAGGACCAGATAGCAAACAATCCAATCTAATATTCGGGCTTAGATTAGAGGTAAAAAAAAACCGTTTGAGACTGGATCGAAAACCGGATAAGAGGCCCCAACACCCAAAACTTAACCAACTACTCACCCTTTGAGGCCTCAGGCCACTCAAATCCCCACAAGCTCAATCTAAAATCAAGACCAAATTGGAACTGGACCGGGTCAATGTCGGACTGTATCCAATCCAATTTTTTGTCCTCATATTTCCAGAAAGACCGGACCGGATCAATTCGGACCAATTTAACCGGACCGGACTGTATAGCCACCCCTAGTTGTCACCATCACAAAGTGTCGTGTCGCTGAGAACATTGACGTATCTAGAAATATAATTTAGTGGGATCCTAACTAAATTAAATGTGATGTTTGTCTTAATGGTGAAATCATTATCTTGTGAAGAGGGGGTCTATGGTTCAAAACTTACTAATTTCACCTTAAAATTTCATCATTTTTAAGGTAGACCATCGTAAACCCTAGTGTCTCCAAATACACGTAAGATTCCTGTGTGTGATTTTATAAAGTTTCTGGTGACTGAATGCACAAGATCAATTTGGTTCTTGTGAACAACTTGATGCACTATTTTCTTTCAGCGAAATACAGTAAATGGAAGGAAAATTTATAGACCGATGAAATGTTTTTTTTCTGTAATTGAATCTCCTTTTTAGTAAAAATTATTTACGTACGGAGAGTGATGAGAACAGCAAAAGAAGAAGTTGTTTTTTTTAGTTTGGAGTGGTGGTGGCGTGGGGCGGCTTTTGGTGAGGGGATGGGATTAGGTGCTAACCTTTATAGGGGTTAGCACCGTGATAACTAGCAAAAAACGCTATTAAAAACAACGAAATCACTACGGATTATTATAAAATCAATACAACATCTAAGCTAAATCACTACTAACCGTTGGTTAGGACGGTGCTAACTCTTGTACAATTAGCACCGTAACTCCTCCCTTTGGTGAACTTCGGCGCCATAATTAAGGCGAAAGAAATGGAGGAGGGTGGATGAGGAGAAGTAAACGATGGTTAGTTGGGTTACTGATCTATGCATAACCTTGTTGATATAAAAATATACCATGTTGATATAAAAATATACTAGGATGGTATTTGATTGCGCGGCTCTTTATGTTTTAGTAAGAAGCATTAGTCTAGATAATAGTCAAAATATATTAAATATTTTCTACTACGTTCCATCACCGTCTATCACCATTTACTATTATAGTGACTGGTGCTATATTTGATCACAATATTCTAAAAATATATAAAATTTGGTAAATCATGATAAACACGTCGATTTTGTCCAAAAGAATATCGAAATTTGAACTAAAGACGAAGGTGATAAAGGGTGGTAACTTGTAACAGGTACTTCATAAAGGTTCCTAGATAACGGTTGGTCCGGGGGAAAAGATTGACGAAATATATAATTTTTTAAAATTTTATAAATCACAATGAACTCGTTTCTTTTATTCAAAATTTTTAAAATGCAAGCTAAAAGAGTGACAAGTCAATTAAAAAATAAAAAAATATAGAAAAATGGCAAAGGCTAGTGTAATCCCGGGCGTACGCTTACCTTACCGTTTATAAATCACAATGTCCTATACCCTAATCTCCTAATGGGTGAACTCCAACCCCCAATTCACTAACCCAAAACACAATATGCATTTAATCTTGAAATGAAAATCAACGATTCTGATTAATTGAATTGAATTTCATTTTTAAATTAAACGAATCTAATGGTTTGGGTCAGAAAATTAGGCACCGTATACATTAAAAAAAGAACAATTTAACCATTGCTCATGTCATACTCGGCGGAGATACGCACAAGGCACAACTGTCACACTAGTATGAACAAAAGAGGGAGACGCACCTTGGTAAACTCGATCATAAACGTCCGGGAGCTCCGACAAGAACTTTACGACGAAAGTACACGTGGCGGCGGCGGTGTCGTGGCTACCGACCAGAAGCCCCAGTATCTTGTCAGCAATGTCTATCTCGCTCATGTGCTCCCCACCGTCGTCGGTCGCCGTCAGCATATACGACAATATATCCTGATGCGCTTTCATCTTATTACGATCACACCCCTCCTCCGCCGCCGCCGCCGCCGTCGCCAGCTCAGCCTTCCTCCGTCTAATAATCCCCACCAGATACTCCTCCCTTATAAACTTCGACGCCCTGATCGCCCTCCTGAACGGCGTCCAGGGCAGATCGAACGGCAGCGCGAAAATCCCGGACGCCACGTCATCGAACGGGACGCCGAGCTCCGCAATTCGCGCGGGATCGTCCAGGCTGACGAACAGCCGACACGCCACCCAGAACGTGTACTTCTTCACCAGCGGGAGCACTTCCACACGGTAGCGATCCTCCCACAGCGAGGCGAAGTGGCGGCGGGCCACCTCGTCCATTTCTCCGACGTACCTATACGTAGTACGAGGAGTATTAGGTGAGAAATGCAGTCAGAAGTGCGATTCTATCTAGAAATGGAAAAGAGGTAAAATCGTGAAGCGTAGAATCGAAACGTAAAAGTGTAAGTTTTTTTTACGCATACTACTGTAAAATAACTAAAAATATGTTAAGTACGACATATACGATATATAAAATATGAGTGCACATAATTTAGATAAGTTAATAAATACTTCCAATTCATGTCTAAAGCAGATCAGTTCATAGTATTTTAACAATAAGACACCTTAATTTCCCCTGTATGCTAATGAGTTCGGGAAGGGCCTAGCTGGTGAATTAGATTACTCTGCTAAATCCGAGAATGCATCCGCAAGTACGTGGTATGTATCCTTTGATCTCAAATGTATCATATTGTTGGTGTTTTACCTTTAAAATATACTTTTTTATAATTAATTTTATGAAAAAGAATACCCATTTAGTCAACTAAAAGCGTTTTGGTAAACTAGAAGCGTAAGTTTTTAAACTTTGAAAAGCGATTTAGTCCGATTTTATACGCTAAAGATTTTATATAGAAACGAAAAACATACGTTTTGGTGACCTGGAAGCGTAAAATCGAAAAAATTTTAAATTTTTAAAACGTGATTTTGACTATATTAACTATGATTAGTGTTATGTAACTGAACATAATTATATTCCTTATCAGAGTCGTAGAAATCAGTACCTCTGGAGGGCTTCGGGCTTCATGAACTGCGGCAGGAACTTCCGGAACCGGCGGGACTCCTCGTGTATGGAGGTGGTCTCGCTGAAGGGGAAGATCTTGCTGACGGAGTCCGGCCACCACACGACCACGAGCTTGTTCTCGTTGGTGAAGAGGAACTTGTTGCCCTCCGCGCCGGTGAGGACGACGGTGGGCTCGCCGACGATGTGGGTCTTGAACGCGGAGGAGGAGAATTCTCGGATCCGGTCCGTGACGAACTTCTCCGGGCGGCCGGTCCATCCGGTGGAGAGGAAGTCTAGGGTTTCGCCGAGGTAAGGGATGCCCGGCCGGCCCGGCGGGAGGTTCGGGTGGTTGTAGTATTGGGATCTGTGCTTGTAGAAGATGGCGGCGAAGGAGAGGGAGACGGCGGAGATGAAGAGTAAGAGAAGGTTGAGGTACAAGTTGTTGTGATAGTATTGCTCCATGTTGTTTGTTTTTTTTTCCCCGTTATATTGTTGTTTACGGACAGTTTGCCTTATATAGAAAAAAATGTCCCAGGATTTCTATTTCGGCAATCGGCACCTGTCTTTGTCGGAATATTTTTGACATTACCAACTGGATTTTGTTGCGGTTAGGCTTGGAAGTTAAAGTCAGTCATCACGGACAAAAATGGCCGCCTCAATAGTATATGAATTTGGTGAATTAAATTTTTTATAATAGCTGGAGAATGACCTGCTCACTTCCTCTTAGCGGTGGCAGTTCGGTTATTTCGGTTATAACCGATTGGCCGATAATAGATTGGCCGGTTATCGGTTAACCGAAATAAACACCCCCTTACCGAAAATCGACCGAAATAGACTTCGGTTTCTTGGTTACCTCGGTTATCGGTTAACCAAACCACTTTTAAGACCAAAAACCATTTTGGCCAGCTTCCGATAACCGACCAAAGTTCGGTTACCGGTTAGTGGATAACCGGCCGGTTATCGGTTTAACCGGTCGGTTAACCGATAACCCGTAACCGAACTGCCACCCATACTTGCTCTTGCAGAAAGTGACAATTGTGACTACTAGTGGGATGTACGTGCAAGTTATTTTTTTATTAAATTGATCTTTACGATAGAATTTAGAGATTTAGGGTAAGACATTAGAAGTTAAAGTATAGTATCATATTCAAAATTCATTTTAATTCATGGTCTAAATAGAGATATTTTGGATATTCCAAGTGAAATATCTCTATCTAAACCATGAATTAAATCGAGTTTAGGATTTAACACTATATTCTAACTTCTAATGGATAAATATCAGGGTTTAATTCTCTAAACTCAAATTTGAAGATCAATTTACTTAAAAAAATAACAATCTCACGACTCAGATTTGTCAAAGTACAACGAAATGCATCCAACGGTCAGAGCTCTTGGAGTTTGGTATAGGAAATAACTGGCTTACTCTTGGAGTATACCATATATGATAAGATCACGAGCTCGTGAAAGTTTAGGTTCTTTTTATCAAAGTCGGGCAGTCGCAATCTTTTTAGGATTTTTCAGAATTTTCTCTCAACAACTCGAAAAAGTGAAGGATAGGACGGATTGAAGTGCAATCTCACACCTAGGAGAAGGCTCTATCAGTATGAGGGTGAGGCACGACCACAATCAAGGTGACTAGTTGATTGATACGAAGCAAACACTCGGGAAATTGGAGTCCACCAATTCACAAGAGCAAATTGAAGAGTAAAAACTTAATGAACCAAAAAGGATTTTCTATTCAACATAATCACCCCTCAAACCAGAGTTTACAACCCTTTAAATAGGTTTGAAAAATAAAACTAATGAAAGTACAGAAAAGAAAAGAATCATAAACGAAAAAGGTAACTAAAACTCGTCAGGGCCAAATCCCCTATCGTGCACCATCAAATCCCTTGTTGGGTATTAGCACCCTCATGACTGGGGGCCCTTCTAATCGCATTGCCCTATTGTGAACCTCAGTTCCCCTATAGCGATTTTAACCCACATGATCGGAGATTTTCCTAATCACCATACGATCTTTAGGCTGCTCGTTTGGTGTCCAGTAAGTTTCAATCTTCTCACCAAACGACTTCACGACCTTTAATTGGACTTATAATTTGATGTCGAACTCCAAACTTCCCTCCAATGCCTCCCAAACAAAATGAGTAAGCCTCCAAAGTAGGTACCACAAACTATTTCCCAGACTTAGCCAAATTTCCAGCTTCCTCTTCTAGGGGTGGGCAACGGGACGGGATTGGGTACCCGTCCCGTTTGAAACGGGTACCCAATCCCATTTGGAGAGGAAACTCCATCCCATTCCCAAACCCGTACGGGTTAACGGGTACCCATTACCCGTACGAGACGGATAACGGGTACCCGCGGGTACCCGTTATTATTTTAAAGAAAGAAAATTTAACCACAATAAATAAACTAAGCGGCTGTAGATGTGTATGATAATTAACCGAAAAACAGAATAATTTATTCAACGAAGCAAATTAACATAAGTAAACCAAAGCCAACTCCAAAGCAGAATTCTCGGCCCCATGACCATGAATTCCAGGAACTAATAAATTACACTCACCTACACAGCAGCTTTCATAGCTCTTTGCTAACCAAATAAGCCTACACGACTAAGGCCCAAACAAGCCCCAACAAGATGTTGGAGTTCTTTCATTCTGCTACTGGGTTGGTGAAGAAGCAACCTAGCAGATGGGTGAATCTTTCATTATAATTATCCATCTTCTCATTTCACTTCCTTGTAATGCATCCATGCTTGAGCCATTTATAAAGTAAAAGGTTCATATGCAACTATGTATTATTACATGGGAATAGATCACCGAAGGAAGAATATGTATTATTACTTTAAGGGTTAATTGCATGGTTGGTCACTAACATTACAAAAAGCGTTCATGTTTGGTCACTGAAAAAATTTAAATCCATTTGTGGTCACTAACTTTACAAAAAGCGTTCATGTATGGTCACTCTCCGTTAGCTGCCGTCCAACGCCGTTAACGGCCTCCGTTAAGTGATGACGTGGCTGACGGATTCGCCTAATCAGCACATTTTGACCCTAAAATTGACCGCCACGTCATTTAAACCCGCCATGTCAGCTAAACCTAACCAAACTCTACCCAAACCCGAACAGACCCAACCCACCCACTCATCTATGTTATTTATGTCGCTTTCTGGGCAGAAGAAACCTATCATCTTCCCAAAACCTTCGCAGCTCTGTTTTCTTCTCATCCCTTTCTCCTCTGCTCATCGGTTTCTCCTCTGCTAATGGCGACACCTTTCTGTCGTTGTGGATTGGCATCAGATCTCAAGACGAGCTGGACAGAGGCGAATCCAGGGAGGAGGTTCTACGGGTGCAGCAAGTATGGGGTAAGATTTCTGACTTTTCTGCTTTGATTTGTATACCATTCGACCATCCTCTCCTTCATCCCTCTCTGTTTTTGTGGTTGGATCTGTAGACAGATGGGGCATGTAATTTCTTCAGATGACATGACCCAGTAGTTGACGAGCATATGAAGTTTGTGCTGCTGAACTTTCATCGTCGGATTCGGGAACTCGAGAAGAGGCAAAATGGGCAAGGGTTCAAATCTAATGGCTGTCCAGTGTCCATCTTCATTGTGATTGCTCTTGTCTTTTCTTTCATCTGGATGGGATTGGGTACCCGTAATACCCAAACGGGTATGAACGGGTAACCCGCGGGTACCCATTGTAGAATTTCTTGTTCCCAAATCCCATCCCGTAAAAAAATTACGGGTATTTGGGTACCCGTAACCCTAAAAAAATGGGACGGGTATGGGTATACCCAAATACCCGTTTCCCGTTGCCCACCCCTATCCTCTTCCTTGGACTTGGTTTCTTCTTTGAACATCATTGGAAATTGTTATGGATCACAATCTAGGATCACATCAATATAAGACAATCATTATATACATATATGATGGCTTATATCGTACCTTAGGTAAAATCTAGGGTACGACATACCATTAGTAAGAAAACGGTATCTAGATCTTGAATTAACCGGATTTTTGGGCATGATATCATACCCTAATCCTTGATGAGTGGACCCTAGGTCTTAGTTATTTAAATCATAGAACCTAATCCCCAAAGATTGTTTAAGGGAGATTTAAGGGAGACTAGTGTTTTTCTGGCAGATCAAGTGGAGATTTGCATCTAGTAGATCCTTGTGTGGAGCAAAGTCTGCGATATAAGGTGTCTAACAAATCAAGATAATCCCTGAGGGGAGGACACAAAGTTTGCGGTCCTTGTCTTGAGGGGAGGATTATTATGGACAATCCAAGTACCACATCGTATATATAAGAGAAATGACCCTTGTATATTAGTATCCACCAAGCTCATTCGTACGAGTCCTTTTGGAAAGGAAAACAAAAGCAAATTCGTGAGGGCTTGACACAAAGTGGACAATATCGTACTAATGAAGCTATTTGATTTTGAAAAGTGGTAACAGAGGCCTGTTCAGTTTCTATTAAGAGCGGTAAATGTCAGTGGGTGGACACTCATTTTGTGACATTGGGATTTGAGATCCGCGTTTTCTAACGGATAAAAGGAGATGTGCACTCGTTTGGCATAGCAAGTGAAGATCCACGTATATCTGGTGGATCAAGGAGATCTACGTCTAGTAAATCCTTATGGCAAAGAGCTTGTCGTATAAGGTGTCTGGCGGATCATGATAATCGTTGAAGGGAGGATACAAAGTCCGTGGTTCTTGTCTTGAATGGCGGATTGTTATTGGAAATCTTAGTACCAAATTGTACATTCAAGGGAAAGAATCCTCGTATATTAGTGTCAACCACGTTCATAATACGAGACCTTTTGGGAAGGATACACAAAAGTAAATTCGTGCGAGATTGACCCAAAGCGGACAATATCTACTAATGGAGCGTCCGGTCTCGATAGTATATTATTATATTATGTTCAAACGAACTTTGGATTTGATATAGAGAATCAAGAATTATAGTTGACTCATTAGAGATCGGAGTATAATATCATACCACAAACTTGGTTTAATTCATTGTATAGGTATAGTCGTATAGATATCTTATTAGAATTTAGAAGTATCCAATTATCTATTGTCTATAAGTACACCGATACGATCCATAATTCCATATATATAATCTTACCTTTTAAGTTCCGACTCCTTCATAAAAAAGTAGCTAGTAGTAGCTAGGGCCTTGGGGGGATGTTGAACTTTCATATATGGAGCCAATTGGTATTATTAGTATATGAACTGTTGGTATAGCTTCAATTTGTTTGTCGGCTGGTGGACAACTGGATGTTTATATAAACCTTCTAATTAGTATATAATCTGGACACTTTAAAAAGGTTAAATTTATCTTTCATGTACCATATGTAACATGACTAGTGGACCACAAAATATATAATTAACAACAAGTGTTCGGTGTAGCGATACACTAACTCTTAAGTAGCACTTAATGATAAAAATTAATCTATTACACCCTTACAAAAAAATTACGTAATAAATCATCGATTTTAAGACATGTATAAAGTAGGAAGGTGCACTATTAGGAAGGTAAAGGGATTTGAAAATTAACACTTAAACTTGGAGCGACATTGAGAACAAGATTAGGGATGGCGACCTTGACCTACCAGCCGGATACCCACCGAAACCCGCCCAGATGGTGAGCATTCTATCCGTCCATCGTGGATAAAGGGCGAATTCGGGCATACCTGAAATCCGTGAGTAACGGACAACGGGTGATGATGGATCTCGTGGTATCCATCCCGTCCCCGCCCGAAACAAAACGACGTCGTTTTGAGCGCTCAATATATAAACTAATAATTGAGTGTTCAAAAAATCATAATCCTTATTTCATCTTGTTGCGGCCGACGCCGACTGCTCCCCTTCCCTTTTCACTCTTCTTCTTCCCCTCTCTCTTCTGACCATCATTCTCCAGTCACTCCTCTCCTTCCTTCTCCACTCATCCTCTTCTTCCCCTCCTCCCTCTTCTGATAGCCATTCTTCAGTCACTCCTCCACTCTTCTCTCTTCCTCTTCCCCTCCTCCCTGTTCTCTTGCAATCCCAAAATCATGTTCACGTACCCAAAATTCAGCAACCCCAAAATCGCTCTCACATCTCTAATCGCGCCCGCTCCAAGCCTCCAATCACTCCCCCCCCCCCCCCCCCCTCTTCCTTGGGGATTCGTGGGTTATCCGGATCCGTTTGCTTATAGGGACGGTAGACATAATCCGCACGTTTAACCTGTGTGGACGGAACGGAGAAATCCGTCAGTCTTGACGGGCAGGGACCAGGAGGTAGGTATCCGTCCCCGATCCGTCCGATGCCATCCCTAAACAAGATATGCTGCAAATCATATAAATGGTTCCAACATTGCAGTCCAAGGGGGGAAATGGTTTTGAAAATATTACTAATATTTTTTTATAACTGAAAATATTACTAATATTAATTGCATCTTTAGAATTAAAAAATCATATGTATTATATTTTTTGGAATTTTAAATTCATAATAATTATTATTTATAATTAAAATCCTAGTGGGATAAATTTATTCCGGCCACCTTCTTCCGTTCACCTTCATTCTTCGTCAGATGTGAGATTTGAAACACTACAAATGGAATAAAAACAGTACTAGTGGAATACTAAGGTTGCCTTGCCATGAATCGAAAATGTCCAAGGATTTCTATTATGGCACCTGTCTTTCTTTGGAACATTTTTTAGATTACCAACCTGATTTTGTTGCGGTTAGGCTTGGAAAATGGAAGGTTAGCCATCCCGGACGAAAAAGGCCGACTATCTGAATTTGTGATTTGATTTTTATAATAGCTAGAGGACACCTAAGGGCAGCAGATCTCTTGTATAACTTACTGGATTGTTTGCTTCATAGATTTTGTGATGGATTTGGACATCCATCATGTACTTTGAGCAAAGTCCATTATTTGCTTGATTGAATTAGGAGAATCAAATATATAAAATCCATAAACTTTGAGGGACCAAATCCGTGGGTCCCATGAATTTGAAAGCTCCACTCTTATAATGTCGTATTTTATTTAAATATTAATGTGTATGTTATCTCTTGGATTCAACTATAAACATTTGAATGTTGATGCATTTAAGTATAATAATTTTATTATTTTATTTCTCATGTTGTACTTTATTTAAACAAGGACAATAAGGTAAATTGTATTTCATAATATCCAACAAGTTCTTATTTTTCTTTATAGTTCTAAGCCTCGTGAGGAAACAGACGAATAGGAAGTCCGTTAGCCGGCACACAAATAGGATTCACGATAATTTTTTCACCGGGGATCAACATCTCGAACTTGAATCGCTTCACCAAGTTGTGCATAAACACCAGAATTTCAAGGCGAGCATACTCTTTGCCAGGGCACATCTTGGGGCCTCCTCCGAAAGGAACGAACGTGTACGGTTCTGGACCGCTGCCTTCGAATCTGCTGGGATCGAATTTCTCCGGTTTCGGGAAGTACTTCTCGTTTTTGTGAGTTGAAGGTACACTCCAATACAACTGCATATAGATATATATACATATCCCATTTATGTTAAACTACATAATGCATACGTGAAACCCATGAGAAAGGAAAGAATCACGGACCTTCCAACCCTTGGGGATGGAGAAGCCATTGAAAATGAAGTCCGTAGTGGCTTTCCTGAACGAGCCTTGAACAGGAGGAGTGAGCCTCAGCACTTCACAAGCTACATTCCACGAGTACTTCATCTTCTTTATGTCCTCCCAGTTCAACAATTCCCCTGCTGATTTGCTTCTCGCTATCTCCATTTGTTCTGCAAAAAAAAAAAAGTGGAGCCACATGATTTTCAGCTTAGGGACAATCGAACCAGAACATGATCCTGCTTATAAATTGTACTAATACACAAGCAAGAAATCTTATTTACAAGCCCATGGTGGTAAATTTAGGCAATAAATAAGATTATACCATGTCCTTATAAAAATGTACAATGCTTGTAGAAATATGTGATGGTGCAAAATGATTGTAAAAATATAAAAAAATATATGATGTCCTCCCAGTTCAACCATTCTTTCATTTGCTAAGTGTGATGTTGCGATGCAACATCACACTTAGTAAATGAAAGAAAGAGGAGATGCACCTTGGTAAACTCGATCATAAACATCAGGGAGCTCCGACAAGAACTTGACGACGAAAGTACACGTGGCAGAGGCGGTGTCGTGGCTGCCGACGAGAAGCCCTAGTATCTTGTCAGCAATGTCTATGTCGCTCATATGCTCCCCGCCGTCGTCGGTCGCCGTCAGCATATACGACAATATATCCTGATGCGCTTTCATCTTATTACGATCACACTCCTCCGCCGCCGCCGCCAGCTCAGCTTTCCTCCGCCTAATAATCTCCATCAGATACTCCTCCCTTATAAACTTCGACGCCCTGATCGCCCTCCTGAACGGCGTGCCGGGAAAATCGTACGGAAGTGCGAAAATTCCGGACGCCACGTGGTCAAACGGGACGCCGAGCTCCGCAATTCGCGCAGGATCGTCCAAGCTGACGAACAAACGACACGCCACCCAGAACGTGTACTTCTTCGTCAGCGGGAGCACTTCCACCTCGTCGCGATCTTCCCACAACGAGGCGAAGTGGCGGCGCGCCACCTCGTCCATTTCTCCGACGTACCTATTATAGTATGTGTAGTCAATGGCACCGGATCCATAACACAGTAGAGTACTGGGCCGCATTTCATTAGAAAATTCGATATCATAAAAAAATATTATGATTATAGTTTTTTTTACAATGTCAATTGTACATGACGGTCTTTTAAGCACTAGACAAAGTTCTCTCCGTGGTAGTTGTTGAAACGAGAAGCATCAACACAAGACAAATCAAGGAAAAAATCCAAAAGTACCACTGTTTAAAAAAAAATTCCAAAAATACCACCCAACCCCAAAAAATTCCAAAAATACCACCCTTTTTCAAAAACCGCCACCCCACCCAGCGGTTTGGTCGAAAACCGGTTGTCGGGGGCGCGGTTTTGGACCAAACCGCGGGCCTAGGGGGCGGTTATAAAAAAAAAAAAAAAAATTTGCCGAAAACCGCCACCCCAACCAGCGGTTTGGTCCAAATTTTTTTTTTTTCGACCAACTCCTAACTTCGGTCGAAACTTCAAACGAACGTAACTTTGCACTCGGGTATCCGATCGTAGCGATTTGTTTTTTCATTTCGCATAACTTTTCAAGATCTACAACTTTTACTAGGATGAAATTTTCAAAACAGGAACTATATGTGGATATACGGGACCTTGAGAATAACTTTACCTTTACTTTTAAGAAATCCATGTACATTTTGAAATTATGATTATAATAAAAGTTGTAGATCTTGAAAAGTTATGCGGAATCAAAAAAAGTTCATAACATTCGGAGTTTGGAGCACAAAGTTATGGCCGTCCAAAGTTTGACGAAAGGCGAGACCCGGCGGTTTGCGGCTTGCAAGTTATGGTCGCACAAAGTTTTGGACCAAACCGCTGGGTGGGGTGGCGGTTTTTGAAAAATGGTGGTATTTTTGGAATTTTTTGGGGTTGGGTGGTATTTTTGGAATTGTTTTTTTAAACAGTGGTACTTTTGGATTTTTTCCACAAATCAATTGACTAATCAACTTGCACTGTGTGTCCATCCGACCATCCCTATATCCACCATGCTGCTCTAGTAAAATTTTAAGGGAACAAACCTCATAGTTCTTTTAGTCTTTTACGCTTTTAGACTTTAGGATTTTTAGTTTTCATTGTTTTTTTAGACGAAAAACCTTTGGGGCTAGAATTTCTAGGATAAATTTAGAGTAGTGAATTGAATATGTTCATCTGAATCATTTTTCTAATTATGCAAAATCATATTATAAAATAACACTGGTCTGAATGACTAAAATCGACAAATTTATAAGGATTATTCTAACGCGGGATCCAGAAAAGGGTTGGGCCAGGGCCCGCCCGGGGTGGCCACCCCCTGGATCCGCTAATGTGTGTAGTACAAGTAGTATTATGTTATACTATAAGTACTGTTATATAATTGGACTAGTTATATTCATTATCAGTAAAAAAAAATCTGAATTTAATAATAATACGCAACAGTTTTTCACGATCGTACCTCTGGAGGGCTTCGGGCTTCATGAACTGCGGCAGGAACTTCCGGAACCGGCGGGACTCCTCGTGTATGGAGGTGGTCTCGCTGAAGGGGAAGATCTTGCTGACGGAGTCCGGCCACCACACGACGACGAGCTTGTTCTCGTTGGTGAAGAGGAACTTGTTGCCCTCCGCGCCGGTGAGGACGACGGTGGGCTTGCCGATGATGTGGGTCTTGAACGCGGAGGAGGAGAATTCTCGGATCCGGTCGGTGACGAACTTCTCCGGGCGGCCGATCCATCCGGTGGTGAGGAAGGCTAGGGTTTCGCCGAGGTAAGGGATGCCCGGCCGGCCCGGCGGGAGGTTGGGGTGGTTGTAGTATTGGGATTTGTGCTTGTAGAAGATGGCGAAGAAGGAGAGGGAGACGGCGGAGATGAAGAGTAAGAGAAGGTTGAGGTACAAGTTGGTGTGATAGTATTGCTCCATGTTACGTTGTTTGTTTTTTTCTCCCCTAGATTGTTGTTTACGGACAGTTTACTTTATAGGTAAGGCAATCAGCATGGATTGGAAATGTCGCAGGTTTGTTATTGGCGCCAGTACCTAGGATGGTAATTTCGATTTGACATATTTTATTCAATTTTTTCAAGTTTGTTTTAGGGCGGGTTCGATCCGTTTATAGGCGGGGCAGGACGAGCATGGATATTCTCGTCGATCTGATCTGTCCTGACCCGCTCTATTCTCAACCCTTTGTTGACTAAATTACATGTAATCTTAGTCAAATTACTTAGAATTTTCATTTTATTATTTCATATTTTAGCGATAATAAAGTTGTTAATTAGTGAAAACCTCAATTTCTCCAATAATTTAATAATATTTATAATATTATGGTTTGTTTCTTGATTTTATAATAAAAATCAACTTTGTCATTATAATTAATTTATTACTAACTTGTTGTGTATGTCTTCCTATATTATTGTTGTTTATGAAATAAATGTCTATTTTTTATCCAAACATTTTTCAGATTTTTTTATATTATCCAAACCTATCGAAATACTGAGAATTAGCCAAATTTTTAACTTTCAGTTTGCAATTTTGTTAGTAATATTGACTTGGCAACATGATACTGACTTGGAAGTGACACATGAAGGTCAACATTCCAAAATTTTAGTATTTTAACTAAGAAAAGAGTTTCGAATTATTAACGATAACATAAAAATGACTAATATTTTAATACATTACGAAAGATTTGGCTAATTAATAGCATTTTAATCTATTTGGATAATATAAAATTAAAATATCTGAAACGGGTTTGAATAAAAAATAGACATTACCCTTAACTTTATGATACAATTTCAAGTTTTACCTATACTATTTTGTATAAATCTATTAATGGTACAAACTAAAATTATACATTTATTTTATGATATAATTTTAATTTGTATTTTTAACATTATTGTATAATTTAGAGTGGTACTTTAAACACAAATATTTTAATGCATAGTAGAAGTACAACCAACATGTCTTTGTCGGAAATGTCAAAGGTTTGCTGTTGCGCCAGCGCCTGTCTTTGTCGGAATATTTTTGACATTACCAACCGGATTTTGTTACTCCGTCGCGTTTTGGTTAGGCTTGGAAGTTAAAGTCGGCCATCACGGACAAAAATGGCCGACTGAATAGTATCTGACTTCGTGAATTAAATTTTTACAATAGCTGGAGAATGACCGCTCACTTGCTCTTGCAGAGGGTGACAATTGCATGTGACGGCTGGTGGGATGTACATGCTTCAACAAATCAGAATTATCGAATGTTACTTTTGTTAAATTGATCTTATGACAGAATTTAGAGAATTAGGGTATGAGATTTATTCATTAAAAGTTAGGGTATGAGCAGTGGCGGAGGGAGGTGGAAGGGAGTGGGGTCCTAGGACCCCACTTGGATAAATTAAAATGGTTAAATGTATGTACATACTTATTTAATTTGAGTAGATTTAGAATACAGGACCCCATTCATATGAAATTTAATTGTCCTAGTATCATGAAACACACAAATAAATGAGACTATATTGATCATATATCATTGAAAATCCCCAAATTTATAGTCTTTATTGTAAAAAATTCTGATTATACTAAATATGTATACAAAAACCTCTAGCTATATCTAAAAAGCTCTTAGTTCATCAAACTTTTCTTATTAATATACAATTTCTTTGTCATCAAATGTGTTTTATAAAACGTTTGTGTGTATTAGATTTTTCTTGAGAACTATTTATTTTAGATAGTTATTGAAATGTCACTTTTCAATTATGAGTTACACAAAATGTAAGGTATAAATCTAATAACTAATGGTTTGATGAATGACTACTTGACTGAATGTTTTTAAGAAAATTTACTTAATAATTGAATACAATGTTATAATTTTTTTCATATATGGGACCCCACTAAACTCGAACCCTGGCTACGCCACTGGGTATGAGATTTATTCATTAAAAGTTAGGGTATAGTATCATATCCAAGATTTAATTATATTTATGGTTTACATAGGGATACTATGGGTATTTCTAGTGAAATATCTCTATCTAGATCATGAATTAAATTGAGTTTGGCGTTTAACACTATACTCTAACTTTTAATAGAGACATCTCAGAGTTTAATTATCCAAACTCAAATTGAAAGATCAATTTACTAAAAGATTACGATCGACGACTAAGATTTGTCAAATTACAACGAAATGCATCCAACGGTCACATCTATTGGAGTATGGTATAGGAAACAACTGGCTTACTCTTGGAGTATACCATATTAGCCAGTCTTCCCTTATATACATAGATGTATGGTAACGACTGGTGTTCTCTTGGAGTATGGCCTGGCAGTTGGATGTACTTTCTTGTATGTCGGTGAATCACAATTGTCTATGTTATGAGACAATCCAAGTACTCCAACAGATCATTATATATAAGTGTCCAACAAACTCATTAGTCCAAGGCTTTTTGGGGAGGATACCCAAAATTAAATTCGTACGGATTGGGCCCAAAGTGGACAATATCTTACTAATTGAGCATCTGATATCGACAAGTGGTATCGGAACATGGTACCGGTCCAAGGCAGTGGACTCCAATTTAGTGGACCCTCATTCGGTGACCTCAGGTTTTTATATTCGCGCCTTTTGGAGCAAGTGAGATCTATGGTTTTCTAATAGATCAAGTGGAGATCTACATATGATTGATCCTTGTGTCGAGCAAAGTCTACGATACTAGGTGTCTGACAAATCAAGATAATCCCTTAAGGGAGGATACAAAGCTCGTGGTCATGGTCTCAAGGGGAGGATTGTAATGGACAATCCAAGTATTGCATCGTATGTACAAGAGATAGGAACCTTCTACATCATTATCCACAAAGCTAATTAATACGAGGCCATTTGGGAAGGAACCCAAAAGTAAATTTGTGAGACCTTGACCCAAAGTAGACAATATTGCACTAATGGAGCTATTTGATTTTAACAAGTGGTATCAAAAGTTGGTTTGGATTCGATTAAGAGCGGTAGGCGCCAGTAGGGTGGACACTCAGATTGTGAGATCGAGATTTGAGATCCGCATTTTTCTAGCGGATCAAAGGATATGTGCGTCCGTTTTGGCAGATCAAGTGAAGATCTGCGTCTGTCTAGTGGATCAAGGAGATATACATATGGTAAGTCTTTGCGGCAAAGAGCATGTCGATATAAGGTGTCTGGCGGATCAAGGTAATCGCTGAGGGGTGGACACAAAGTTCATGGTCCTTGTCTTGAGGGGAAGATTATTAACAGTCTAAGTACCACATCATACATACAAGGAAAATAATCCTTGTATATTAGTGTCCACTATACTCATCAGCACGATATCTTTTGGAGAGGATACACGAAAGTAAATTCATGCGAATTTGGCGCAAAGCGTATCATGCGACAAACTTGATTTAATTCATGATATACAGTTATACACGTAGATATCTTATTAGAACTTAAAAGTATATAAATTATCTTATAGTATAGCAGTACAGCAATATCATCCATATATATATATATATATATATATGGAGATGTATTGGAGTTGTATGAAGAGGAAGAGAACTAGAGAAGGTTGATGTACAAGTTATTGTGATAATAATTCTCCATCCTTTTTCCCTATATTGTTGTTTATGGACAGTTTACTTGATATAGTTAAGGCAACCAGTTGGTTCTCTGTGGGAAACACGATTTTTATATATTATTATTATAATCATTATTAGGATAATTCTTATTATGGTTAGTAGTCTTCTAGTAGAATTAGGTTTATTCTTAGTGTTTTATTGTATCTCCCTATATATATGTACTTTGGGTCATTCGTCGAATTAAGCAGAAATGAGTCCGGATCTGGTGACTAAGGGGGGGTGCTTAGTCACTTGGCTAAGCCCCCCTCAGCCCTTGGATCAATCTAATGGTGTAGATAATGGAAGGACTATTTTATTAATAAGAAGGGCAATTCTGGAATTAGAAAAAATTCAAAAAAAAAATTTTCTCCACCTTCTCTTCTGCGCTGCCAGCCACGGGATGAAGGCGACGATGGAAAAGAGGCGACCGGCGGCGACGATGGAGAGAGAGAAAGGAGACCTCGACCACGACGGCGACGGCGACAGCGACGGCGACGGCGACGGCGACGGCGACGATGGAAAGAGGGAAAGGAGATCGCGACGGAGGCGAAGGCGTTGAAGAGAGAGAAAATAGATCTGGTCTTCATCATCGGAAAACAGAGGAGAGAGAGGCAATGGCGGAGAGAGAGCGCCGGCGACAATGGAGGAGAGAGAGCGCCGGCGACAATGGAGGAGAGAGAGGCGGCGCGACGATGGAGAGAGAGAGAGAGGTTGCGATGGCAGTAGATTGAATCAGCGGCGGCAGCGGTGGAGAGAGAGTCGACGGCGGCGGCAGCGGTGGAGAGAGAGTCGTCTGAAGGAAGAACAGTGATTTGTATAGTTTGTATGTTTTGTAACATTAGTTTGTATTGTTAGTATTTTTGTACAAAATGTCAGTATGGTTTGTATGTTTTTCTTTGACAGTTTGTACTCTTAGTATGTTTTTCTTTGACAGTTTGTACTCTTAGTATGTTTTTCTTTGACAGTATGGTTTGTATGTTTTTTCTTTGACAGTTTGTACTCTTAGTATGTTTTTCTTTGACAGTTTGTACTCTTAGTATGTTTTTCTTTGACAGTTTGTATTCTTAGTATGTTTTGCTTGTATTCTTAGTATGTTTCGCTTTGTATTGTAAGTACTAATAATTTGTATACTTTATATGTATTGATTTGTGATGCAAAAAACATTACAAACATGGTTGACAAAAATGACAAACATGTGGACAAAAATAACAAACATTACAAACAATACAAAAGAAACCAACAAACATTACAAAATAACAAACATTACAAACATTGCAAACAAACATTACAAACATTACAAACAGTACAAAGCATACTACACGTACAGAA